AATGGGTGTGTCCGTGGCGTGGCGTCAGAGATCAAGTCTTCGCCATGACACAGGAAGTTGTTGTAACTTCAGTGTACATGCTCACATCTTAACCAAACTTTACGTGCTTGATAACTCTCCCACCCCGCAGACATTTACACGCCAATACCGATTTATATTCATAGCGGCAAGTGTTATGTAGCTCCACATAGGGGACACGGGAAGTGACATATAACATCTTAATGCGGCGTCGGAACCGCGTAGAAAATTCACAGCCGCACCGGCAGAGCTCCAGAATTGACGCGCTACAAGTGCGAGGGCCCGCCCAACGCTGCTTGCAGCTTTAATTTTTGATATAATCATTCATCAATAGATACAAGTCATAACCTACAATAGCTCAAATTTTGTAACCAATGTCATGATCAGTCTGGGACTTTTGTGTTGAAATTTTTATGCTTGACTTATTGTTTTCCTCATGTTACTTTCTGTAATTGTGTGGCTGCAGTCAAAGCAAGTAGATCACTGCTGTATTAGTGTGGTCTGTTCTTCTTCTGTATCCTACTGATTGGGTGAAAACAGTTCAAATAGTGACAGTTCCCATTATCGTTTTAGAAAACCTGTTCTGGCAATCCTTTGTGAGTTTTGAAAGCAGTTTTTATAAACAAAACACGTTTCTAACGCCGTTTTTTAACCAAACGCGGTAGAATAGTGATAATTATTGGCACTATGGCTTGCCATAGACTGGCACGCAGTTGCGCCGCAGCATGGAAACCCGACCAAAACGCAACAGAAGCATTGGGGAGATCCTGACAGCTCGCAGTGCATAGTCTTGTTTCACTGCACCTTGATGTAAAAACAGAATAAGAAAAAATCCATCACAATGTAAAAATTAGCTCCCTCAATGGAGCGTCGTCTCCCGCTGCGCGCGCCCACGATGTTTACTGCTGCACAATGCAGAGGGTGGTGCGGCGAGAAGTGGATGAAGACAGAAGAGGAACTGCCACCAACCAGCATCTCAACCGCTACAGTAGAACCCCACGCCGCAGATGATGTGTTTCTACTCCCTGCCGTTCTCCATTCTCTCCCGGTTAAAGTTGACGGAATCGAACGAAATGACACAGAGTGATTAACATTCGTTTCACCCCACAGCAGCACCAAGAGCAAGGACAATCAAGATGAAATTTCCGACTGAGAATCCAAGAAAACCAGGGAACATGAACCCTCCACCAGGTTAGACTGTTTGTTATTTTCGTGAGGCCTGCAGTGCGTCCCAATAGATTCTGTAATGAATGTGATGACAGTTCCTAAAATTATCTCATTATTGCGTGTTTTGAAATGAAACGCTACAGTCTGTTAAAGTGTTCCTTCATACAGTCTTTTAGCCTTTACCTGGTCTGCAACCACTGTCACTTTTTGTACCCGGTTGCTACAGCAGGCTTGCAAATAAAACATTAATGCTGAGCAGAAGTTGCCTTTCCACAGAAATATGGCAGAGTAGATGTCGATGCTGCATGATGAAGTTTACACTGCAGCTTCACTTTGGCATCCCGGTGCAAAGGTGACATGCGTCGATGTGTTGACAGATAGCCTACCTGAAAAATTAAGTCAGTAGGGGGAAGGGGTGCATTTTATAGGAGCTAATTATTTCCGCAAAGAGGCGTTGCAGGGAAAGATGAACAGGTGCTGACAGTCAACAAAAGCCTCTATGTGATGCAGTGGAGAGATACACAGGCTGTGGTTATAACATTACCTCATCCACCGCCGGTTAGATGGCCCAAAATCCTACATGTGTGTCACGTCCTCCCAAATCATCAGCATCAGCACGTTTGCCTAGCGCTTACAGCCTGTGCAAGTGAGTTAAATGTTCAGCTGGAGAGAGAGATGACAGCCTTTGTGAAGTGTTGCTCCTCTGCATTATTTCTATGATTTCTAAAGCTGCCGTTCATCGTTGCACCTGCATGTGAGCAGTGCAAAGAAATCGGTTTTCTAAACGCTGATTGGTTACATAAGCACTTACAAAGCAGTCATTCTATTGGTTTTTATAAGTGGCTGTCACCAGCCCATTCTTACATAAGTTAATAGATGATTGTTTTGCTGGCTGTTGGTCACACAGGGAGCTAATCCCCACTCACACCAACAGCAGCCTATGTTGTTTCTGAGCGATAATTGGCAGGAGAAGCTGTGACATTTAGCCATAGTTTTTTAGTGTCTTTTAGTTTGATTTCTGTCATGAAAAATATCTTGAAGGTGTTTTTGAGAATCCCATGTGGGATAGCATGGGATTCTCAAAAACACCTTCTGGTAATACATACAAAGCAAAAAAAAAACAAAACAAGCAAAAAGAACAAAAAAGCCAAAGGAAAAAGGTTACTACAAAGTACTTCTTTATTCCTTAGTAAGATTGAAAATAAATTATTCATTTATAAACCCAGACTCATGTTCAAAACTTTTCTGTGTTCTCAAACAATAATAATAATAATAATAAAATCATAATATTTTAACAAATTCTATCTGCCCCATACTCTGTTGTGCATAAACCTATGTTATTGCTCCGCTGATGTGGTAGTATCCCCTTCAGAACAGAACCCTGTGTGGTACTGTACTGGATGAGACAAGGAGGGGTAAAACCAAAACTAAATGAAATCTCATCCCTCCTTTCCATCAAACAGGCAAATATGAATCCTGGAAAAGATTACTTCTGGAGATAAAATGGAAATTCTATAATGGTTTCATTGTGTTTGCCATAAATTCTCTGCAACTCTTTATGCCTAACGGTATTAACAGACATTTTAAAATTAAACAAATTGTCCTTGCCAGAGGTCATATGAAAGTTCAGTCATGCTGTTTCACCTGTTGCGTTCATCAGCTGGAAACATCACAGTGTCATGCACATCTTGCAGCACACCACACACAGTTTGTTCATTTGTCCTTTGTTTCAGTGGCAGTCCAGACCAACCTGGTCCCCCCCAAAAAGGTGCAGCCAGGCATGCTTCAGTCCAGCCTGGTGCAGGCCAGCGTGGCCACCATGCAGAACCCGATGGGCTGTGCTCTGCCGCGGCTCTCTGTTTCCTCCCGTCCACCCAGCATGGTAGCTAACATGGAGGCGGTGGCTGATGGTTCAGCCCCTTTCACCATGATGAAGCTACAGACAGTACTGGCAGTGTTCGTGGTGGTGGTGGCCTACCTGGTGGCAGGGGGCTTGGTATTCCGAGCACTGGAGCAGCCCTTTGAAAACAACCAGAAGATCACCATTACAGCAGAGAAGGCAGCCTTCCTGCAGAAACACCCATGTGTGTCCCCGGATGACCTAGAAGCTGTCATCAAGGTAAGAGCAACCGCTGGTCGATACTCCATCCATTCCTCAAGCCTGGATGTGGTCCCTAGTGGGGACTCAGGTCTACTGAAGCCTGAGCTTCATATTGATATGATGCCACTTAAGCGTCACACATATCGCACACTCTGCCACCCATCCTGGAATTGGATACAGACCACACTGAACTGTCTTGAACGAAGGGCTCCTATACATCCTTGATCTTGTGTGAATCTGAAAATAATAACACCCCCACCCCCACCCCATGGCTCTCAGAAGGCAGCCGGATCTTATGGCTCCCAAATAGCTCTTAGTTTAGTTCCACTTCTTCTGTTTTTTTCTTATTTTTTGCAAGAAATAAATATGCAAGATTCTTCATAGGGGAGTCTGTGGCTGTGAGCAATACAAACAATACATGGTAATATTATATTGGAAAAAAGTGTGATATATCAAGAATAACTATCCCAAGAGATCGTTAATAGATACTTACACAACTGTACAGAGACACATATAGTACGGGGGTACAGCTCCATGTCACATCTAGGGATGCAGCAACTACCGGATTTCACTATTAACCGCCCTTTAAAACTAATAATTAATTAATTGTAAAGGCCCCGCTACACCGAGTGCTTCTGCTGCACGAAACAAAACTGTTGCAACTTGAACAAAATGAAAACAAAGTTACACGAGCGGTGCACCAGCTTAAAGTGGAAGACAGAACGTCTTCTGTAGTCCTTCAGTCACTGAACATTTAACATTACATCCTGTTGCCTTCTCCTGTCTGTGTTGAGAAAATGTTGCAACATAACTTAGCTTATACATTTCCAGGACTATAACAATTGCCTGCATTTCAGTTAGAATTAACACTGCATGAGAGATGTTCTCAAATTCATTTTCATTGTAACTTATATGTATGGATGAGAGTTGATGACAGTAACAGTTTACAGTTTATTCCCCTCCTCAATAACAATTTCCCCTTTAGTTAATATTCCTCTTATATTAATAATAATTACATATTATAGAAATATAATTGTTAACGTAATTAAATATTAAAAATCATTATTCCTCAGACTATAATCATACCAACAAAATCTGTAATCGTTGCATCCCTATTCACATCATGATGGCCAGTATGAACAGGAGCACTTCAAAACATGTGAAGTTGTCTTTTTAATTAAATCTGTAGTGTTAAAGTTTTTTTTTCTTTAGTTACCAAGAACCTGGAAAGAATTTTACATACAAACTTGTTTGTTGTGGATTTTGTTTTGGAAGAGTAACGTTTTGTTATGGAAGATACACTAGCTATAACCTGTAGTTGTTGTTTTTTTTTAGATATCAGGAAGAGGCAGCCTTAACCTTTTAACTTGTTAGGCAAATAGATTTTCGTCTTTAAGAAGTCATAGTATGATTTTGTTCCTCTCCTTTATTGTGTTATATACCTTTTTTTTGTGCGTGTAATAGATTTGCAAAGTAAAAATCCCAAAGTCCACCCCAAAGGGAGTTACCATCTCCTACAGAACACTGCTCTGAACTGCCTGAAAACTGCTCAATTGTAGTCCAGCCTTTTCTTCCATTACCATGTTACGTTGCAACATGCGTCATAATGCTCACCTAGCGTCTAGTCAGGCACGCCCTCAAAAATACCAGTGGAAAAGCCACCTTCTGGTCTCCTCTCTGAAGCTATACAGGAAGTACTTAACACTGCAATTCATCGAGCTGGCTCCAAATGGGAGTCAATTCCCATTGACCCCCATGTTAAAATGCCCAACTTAACAGCAGAAAAAATCATGTTTACAGCCTGGTAAGTAGATATAGCTAATTTTGCCCATCATGGCAACTGTGACCTGTTTGAATTATATTAAGCCTTAAAGTTCTGTATTATTAGGGGCGTAACCACATTGACTGGCAGGTGGCTGCTGCCACTGTCATTGCAAAAGCAGCTGTTAGCCTCTAATACAGTCGCGAAGCTCTGCATTTCTGCCTGTTTCTGCCTTTTGAAAACTTCTTCACGCAGATACTGGACGAATAATGGCGTGCTGTGCGGTTAATTATAGAGGGAGACCGTCCAGTTGGTGAGTGAAATTCGAGTATTTAATTTATGTGTTAAAAATAATTAACAGGTATTGCTGCCGGCATATTGCTTGTTAGTTTAGCTCGTTATGCTAATACGAGCATCCCCAAGCTGTGCTAATGATTTGAGCTAATGAGTTAAAGAGAAAAGTCAGAAAAGTAAGCAAAAGAGAAGCCAAAATATATTAGAGAAGTGTTTGACATCAGGGTGATAATACTTTGAATACTTTGAAAATTACAGCACTGTTTACAGCGGTAAGATTAATATTGCACATATGAGAAAACAGCATACTGCACATTGCCACCCTAATTGTTGTTATGCCAGAGACGTTATCATGCTCTCAGAATATATTTATGGCAGTTGGTAAAAACTGTGTGCATTCCAGTAAATCTGTACCTATCTTGTCTTTACAGGTTCCAGAGGAGCTGATTGCAGAACCCATCTAGATGTGGATTTCTGTGATTAGCTCTACAGGAAAGAACAGTCCCAGTTTCTACTATGGCCCTTTCCGTTCCTGCACCTTACTGCTTTGTTTAGCATTTTCTTTTTACTTTTGCTCCACAACACCTGAACACTGGGCTATCCACAGGTTCTGTCATTATCATTAAGTCATACAAAAGAACTTTTACATTTGTAACCATTGAATATTGATGTTTTCATGAATGCAAGACATGATTTTAAATTGTTAAACGATTGCTTGTGTATTAGAAATAATTTACAGTATAAATTGGATCAGACTTAATATACTTAAAATAAAATCACACTGTTCATTCCCATGTTAATTGGAAATAGCGCAATCTAAACATAACAATATAGTGTAGCTGTAAATGAAAATATTAAGATGGTGTTTATATGTTAACATTTTGCATATATGTAAGTAGAAAGAAAAAAAATGATATATATATTAATTATATACTAGTTTTATTTTGACATTTCTTTAAGAGACAAATGTGACATTCACATTGGTTTATGTTGACAGTACTATTATATCACATATGTGGGAGAAAATGGACACCTCAAAATATACGGTCTTTAGTGTTTTTGTGTTGTTCTTTTAAGACAGACAATGTAATATCAGCTGTCAAATGTCAAGTGGCCAAGACTAAAGTTAGTACTTACAGTTTAAGCTGTGTGTAGCAGATAGGGAGGCAAAACTACCACAACAATTCTCCTCCTTGGTCCTCGGACCAATCCTGTTCACTTTATATATGCGGCTGTGGCTCAGGAGGTAGAGCGGGTTGGCTGTTAATCGGAATGTCGGCGGTTCAATCCCTGGCTCCCCCTGGTTGCGTGTCGAAGTGTCCTTGGGCAAGATACTGAACCCCGATTTGCCCCTGGCTGTTCCGCCAGTGTGTGAATGTTAGTTTCCGTTTGAGCACTTAGGCTCAGTGTATGAATGTGTGTGACTGGTGAATGCAGATGTACTGTAAAAGCGCTTTGAGTGGTCGAAAAGACTAGAAAGGCGCTATACAAGTACGGAGCATTTACATCCTTTAGGCAATATTATCAAGAAATATTCCATAAACTTTCATTGTTATGCAGATGATACTCAGTTATATCTATCGATCAAGCCAGATGAAACTAATCAGTTAGCTAAACTTCAAATGTGCCTTAGATGACCTGTAATTTTCTAATGTTAAACTCAGTCTCACATTAAGCAAATTTCAAGGACCGCCTTTTTTCACCTACGTAATATTGCAAAAATTTCAAACATCCTGTCTAAAAATGATGCAGAAAAACTAGTCCATGCATTTGTTACTTCTGGGCTGGATTACTGCGATTCCTTATTATCGGGCTGCTCAAAAAAGTCCATTAAGACTCTTCAGCTGATCCAGAATGCTGCAGCACGTGTTCTGACAGGAACCAGGAAAAGAGATCATATTTCTCCTGTCTTAGCTTCTTTGCATTGGCTTCCACTAAAATCCAGAATAGAATTTAACATCATTCTTCTTACCTACAAAGCTCTTAATGGTCAGGCACTATCTTATCTTAAAGAGCTCGTAGTACCTTACTACCCCACCAGAGCACTGCACTCCCAGAATGCTGGGTTACTTGTGGTTCCTAGGGTCTCCAAAAGTAGAATGGGAGCGTTCAGCTATCAAGCTCCTCTCCTGTGGAACCAGGTTCCAGTTTGGGTTCAGGAGGCAGACATCATCTCCACATTTAAGAGTAGGCTTAAGACTTTCCTCTTTGACAAAGCTTATAGTTAGGGCTGGCTCAGGTGAACCATCCCTTAGTTATGCTGCTCTAGGCCTAGACTGCCGGGGGACCATGATGCACTGAGCTCCTCTCTCTACTTTCTCTCCCTCTGTATGACCCTGAGCCATGGTTCTGCTCAAGGTTTCTGCCTCTTAAAAGGAAGTTTTTCCTTGCCTCTGTCGCCTAGTGCTTGCACTTGGTGGGAACTGTTGGGTTTCTGTAAATATCATCACAGAGTATGGTCTAGACCTGCTCTTTAATGAAAAGTGCTGTGAGATAACTGTTGTTGTGATTTGGCGCTATATAAATTGAACAAGAATCGATCAGTGACAGAAAAAAAAACTCTCATCAAAGTACCTTTCTATCTTAGCAGTCATATCCATGTAAATAATCTCGCACAGCGCTGCCAAAAGCAGCAACCCAATACTCAATTTATCGGTGTGGGGAATTACCTTAATTTGTTAAAGGGGCATTATGTAGTTTCCAGCGGCCACTAGCGGCGCAGTTTTAAGATTGCAACCAGGCGTGTGCTTGTACGCATGCTCTTTTGAACTCATGAGCGAGCAGAATCCGAAACACAACCACTTTCATACAGAAATCCTGCAATAAACGCAGGAACACCAACATGCAGGCTGTGGCTTTTCACTCAAACATGTTCAGGCTCTGTTACTTCAACATTACCATCTCAGAGGCGGATCGACACCGGCTCCGTAACGTTACTTCATTCAGCGCAGCGAGACACCAG